AGTTATTGTACACCGATTGTGTGCGGGGCACCTAAATATAAGCCAAGTTGTGGGTTGTGGCCCTTAAAAACCTTAAGTATGTGTTGAAGTTACTTACCACATGTTTGCTCAAAATGGAAGCATTAGTTTCCTTATCTTTCCCCAACTATTTGGACCTTATCTGTAGCCCAATTTGACTTCCCTGGGTGTCAGTTAACTTCTACATGATGAACAACAACATCCTCTCAGGTTCTCACTACTTCTCTTAAATGTTACTTAGTACCTGCCATGTGCTTACAAGTAGTTAAGAAATAGAAATATACAGATGTTGTGTAAGACTGAGTGGAATGAGGGAAAACAGGACACCCTCCAGCATGTACTGAACAGTTTACTGCCTTGGTGCCTTCAGAGACAATTCACTGTTGTCCTTTGGATGAAAACAGTTCACCAGAGGACTAGCAAGATTCCTACCTTGCCTTGTGTCCAGAAGAAATAGCAACTTCCAGCCTCTCTCTCCTCCTGAGGCAGAGTGTGAAGTATTAGCAAAAAGAAGGCACTTATTTCTCTTTGTTGAAACCTGGGAGTGACATCACACATACCTCTCCTCCCTAATAGGACTGGTCTTTTAAGGTAGGAGCTGCTTTTCTTCCCAGGACTGAAAAACACACAGGGAGATTAGAAGCCCCTGGGCAGTCACACCTAAGTAGCTTAGGTTTCCAAGGCTCCCATAACACTTACCACAAACTTGGTGGCTTCAGACAACAGCAGTATCCTCTGGAAGCAGAGGTCCAAAATCAAGTTGTCCACAGGACTGACCTCCCTTTGCAGGCTCTGGTGGCAGCAGGAGGAGTTGGTTGGTTTGTGACTGCGTAACCCGTCTCTGCCACTGGGCTACAGTTCCTCCACTCCTCTTCTCCTTGTCTTCCCTTGGGTTTCTTGGAAGGACATGTCATTGGATTTAGGGCCCAGCTGGGTGTGATGCAAGATGATCTCTTCTCAAGATCCTTAACTTACTGACATCTGCAAAGACCTTTCTTCCACGTAAGCTCATATTCCCAGGGTCCAAGAGTTAGGACTTGAGCATTTCTTCTGGAGGGCCAGCGTTCAACCCGCACACTGGGGTAGGCCCATTTCATGGTGCCACACACAACAAAGACCCAGCAATGCTCTAGGACCACTGGATTTAAAGCTCTGCCTTCTAGAGAGTTCTCCCACTATCCTGTGCACCTCTTTAGGAAAGGCACATCTTAGGGAATCTTGACGCAGAGTAAGAAATAATCTTCCACTTCATCTTGTTCTTTAAAATAATAACAAACTCTGAGAAACTCAGGGATATATTCCTATTTTTAGTTCCATTTTAGGTTTGCTTCTATTTGATTTGTTCATAATAAGATTATCGTTTTATCTTATTTTAAGAATCTGTCCTGGCAGAGAATTTAACGTCTTCCTCAGTTTTGATTGGACATAGAGACTAAAGTGCTTTAAGCATTTGTTGCCACAACAGGGTCTGAGCATAATGCTAAGCAGAAGAAAGATCGTTTTCTCAATGGAAATAACTTATTATTGCTGGAGGTAACATGAAATTATTCATTTTTTTCCTAGAGCATGTTCTTTGTAAATGTTTCTGGAGATAGAGAATCGAAATTAATGATGCCCTCCCTTGTTAAGAATTTACTTCATTTCATGTATTTTGTTGGCCCCTGAGAGAATATCCATTGCAGAGAGGAGAAAACGTAAGACAGTGCTAAAATCCCTGAAGATGTTTCCAAGTAAAATCGATAATTCCCTTCTTGTCACCTGTTACTCTCCCTGGTGCTCTGTTTTGTGTTTGAAGCAAAACCTTGGTTTATTTGTAAAAGCTTGTCTATTAAGATTCCGTAGGCATTTCTTTTTGGCTTCAAGAAGATGCCATTTATGGAAGCATGCTAAAAGGAAAGTTTGCATTTTGGAGTAAAAAAAGTTCTAGTTCAAAGAAGATAACTATTCTGTCAGCAGTTTGTGACTTTTATTTGTCCTTGAACTTTGCAAGAGTAGTGGAGATAATTGAATCGCTTGTAGGTCCTTTTGGTAACAGGAGATGTGTGCATGTTGCAGTGGCAGAAAGAAGTTTGAAGACTGTGACCATAAAGCAGGAGGTGGGAGGAGGCGTCTGCCACCCACACCACCCTTCCTTCATGATCACATTCTTCATAATTTCATGAACATCCTAAGAAAGAAACTGAAGTTAGCTTACTGGTACACCAGATGAGACTGCTGAGTAGGAAGAGCTACAGGTGCCTGAAAAGAAGTTCTGTTAACATTCTAGAAATGTTATTAGTGGGGATTCAATCCACTTAATGTTGTACATCACCATGTTGCTTATATTTTAGAGTTTCTCTGACACATGGCTGCTTCGCAGGATTTTGGGTGTTTTTGTTTGTTTTCCAGAAGTAGATTGCCTGACGTTTCTCTTGAGGTAGCTCTGGGTGGACTCAAACCTGCAGCCTTTCAGTTTAGAGGGGAGTGTGCTGACTGCTTGCCCACCCAGGATCCAGTGCCTGGATTGGTTGCACATATGTCGACTTCCATGCGCCTCACAGATGCTAACTTCCCTTTTTTTTTTTTT